GTTAATCCTGCATCTTTATGTGATACTAGCGATCCGCCCCGACTTCGCACGAGTAGATGGAAAGATAAATTAATATTTTATATTAGCTTTAGTAAACAAATTGATACTTTGAATTACATTATTATCATTATGGTAGAGAGCTCAAATTTTTTCGAAAAAATTATTTATCGTAATCTGCTGATTGATAATGTAGCTTTCTATAAGTGGAAGAATTTTTAAAATAGCTTATTGTTTTTGAGATTGACTCTTCTCTTCTTTATATTATTAATATCGAGTACAGATTAATTACCTGAACAACTTCACTTTTAAAATTTTTTTTATAATCATAGATCAAAAGTTATTCAGTTACATGGACTAAGTGTGAATTTAAAAAAAAATCATAATAAAGTAACTGTCGAAATCCAAATAGACAGATACCTTTGTTTGTATTGATTAAAAATGAAAAAGAATGTTTTTCAAAGACAAATAGAAATAAAAAATAAAAAAATATTCAAAATAAATTCTAAGATAGTAGCTTTTACCGACTTCGTCCGCATGAACAGGATTACGTTCATTGACCGGGATAAAAAGTAGCCTATATCCTTCTTCCTTATTGATTAAGCCGTTAAGACGCCAAGAGCCAACAAACAAACTCACTTCCTTATTTATAATATTAATATTAATAAAATCTTCCAATATACAATTTAACAACACATTATTAGCGTCTCAATATTAGGTCTGTTTTCCCATAACAAAAGAAATCTAGACAATGAACTTGACTCTCTTTACTTTTATCTGGAAATAATCCCTTTAAGGAATAATTAAAGTAAATGTACAAAAGCATATAAATAAATAATAAATTAATTAATCTATTACATTAGGAATTAATTATCAGTTTGTGAAATGAGTTTCCTGTCGAGTTTTTTCCATGAACTAGAGCATGGGGTTCTTCAAAAAAGGGGTAAAGAAGTTTCCTCAGAATCAGCAATACGCGTGTAATTCCTCTGGTATTTCAGGTGTTTATAGGCTACGCTACCCGCTTACCATCAAATGGGCCGTATGTTTGTTTGCCACCTCAATATTATAATAAAAAACAATCTATTACTTTCTGGCCATGTGGTCCCGGCATAGAATAGGCCGCCCCTTCCTTTCCCGTGGGTGTCGTAAGAGGCGACTAAGATATGTTAATGGTAGAGAAATGGGTAGCAGCATCCCTCTTAAGACGAGGTGTCTTAAAAGCCCAGGTGGAGTTGCCAACCCACCTGCCAAGCGTGGCAACTTCTAGCAAAACTCCCTTTATGGGGAAGGCTTATGTTCAACGAAGGACAGTTAACGGCTGAAATGATGACGATGATGATTACTTTGTTAATAAAGCCGCTTAACAAAATAAATTGAGTATTTATCAGTCTGTAAAGTAAGTCTAGATTTAGAAAAAATACAGAGGTCGCAGGGGGAAGGAACTATTTCTTATCAGGTCGGTCTCAACCGCGTCCACCATAGAAACCATCACGGTTAATTCCTCTATAGATACTCATAATTTATTAAAACATTCAATGGTGCCCTCCTTTCTTCATTCATACACCAATCCATCTTCTTTTAAAACATATATACACGAGTAGATAAATATATACCAGTGGTAGACTTTGTATAAAAGTCGATTGCTTGGGTACCATTCGTGTTTCTACCGTGAAGCAGTTGTTTGCATGGCTGTGTTTCGGTTTGAAAGGTGGAATATGGCGTGAATTTACAGGGTACAGAGGAATAACATCTGAGTCCTCAGGAATGGTAACGCATGGGGGGTATCATGGGCGAAACAGTAAACTCTGTTATGTCCATGGTACTGCTCATGTAGGCGACGGTTACCACTTTTCATCAGGTGGGCCGTCAGCTTGTTTGCCATTCTAAGTTGTATAAAAAAAATGTTAGATGTTAAGAATTATTAAACTGATTTAAAGAAATGTTTCGTCACTTGTAGAAAAAGCTACACCGTTACTAGTTAAAAAACTGATGTTTCTCGTAATTTCTATGGAAATGTTAAAGAATGCGGTGCTGCAAATCCATCCTAACCATGTTTGTCCATATGAACCCCATAAACCAGTTAGACAACTAGATAATAGATTTAAATTTCTCACGGTAGTGCTACCTGTCATATTTTTATGTGACATTACGACATATTATAGTGATGAGTCAAAGTTGATTTGTCTGTTACTAACTATTCAATGTTAGTTCTCAAATGATACTCAAATATTTCATATTTACCTTAATAATATTATAAATGATAATATATATTATATATAACATATAGACTAGATAGATAGTATAGAAGTAATAGTAACAAAAATGTATTTGATTTGAAATGATCTTACCTTACTTTAGGCATCAGCCATCTGATTATACATTATATACCCACTGGTTATAGTTATATTTATATATGTATATAATATAATATTTTATTTATTTGTAGACTACCAGCTGTTACCTACGTGGTCCATGTATAAGAATAAAAACTGTCTTATCTCTGAAATTGGAACAAACAATACATTTCGAAATTTCATTAAAATCGATTGTACGGTTTCAAAGATCAGCGTCACGATTTGACACGAGATACTTAAACATACATACATGGTACAAGAACGTCAAATTTGTCACATCGTTTTAAAACTACCTGATATTTACGAGAAACAGTTAAAGTCCCTCCCAAATCCAGCTGTGGCCAAATTCCTGAAGCTCCATTAACAAAACATTGTGGTGTTAAACCCATAACATTTTTATTTATTCCAAGAACATTTCGGAGACACCGACTGGTTTTAAATAAATATACCGTTTTACAAATTTGATATTCCTGCAAATGAAAATTCAAATTCGACAGTTAACTACGAATACCTTTTAACTTTACAAAACAGTTGTAGACATAGAACTTAATCTAATCTTAACTATCTCCTTTTCGATGTTACTCAGAAAAAAAAAATTTAAACCATTACGAGTATATTTAAAATTTATATATTTTTTTTCTTTACAACACAGGGGGCAAACGAGCATGCGGCTCACCTGATGGTAAGTGACTATCACCCACAACACCAGCGGCATTGCAAAATATACTAAGGTATGTCATCTTATCAACTGTTAAGTGTCCACTGCTGATCATAAGCCTCCCCTATCAGAATGGGTCACACCTTCCTTTCTCGTGGGTATCATAAGAAGCGTCTAAAGGAACTTATTGATCAAAGGATGGGCAGCAGGTTCCCTCTTAAAACATCATCAAATCCTAACTGCAGTTGCCAATTCTACTACCAAGCGTAGCAACTACGGGTAAAACCCCCCTTATAGGGGAGGCTTTTGTTCAATAACAGTTTTGTTCAATAATAAATAAACAGCTGTTATGATTTGAAGATACCAAACATTGGTGTCGATTATGAAGTATCATTCTCGATACTCATCTCTGAAATTATAATTTTAATTTGACAGCTTAACAAAACTAAAACGGAATGGACAGTCAGAATTAAATACATATAAAGCAGTTCTGAGGGGAGAAGGAAGGAAAAACAATCAGAATTGTTAGTAATAGGGATTAGCAACCTCATTACTGGCAAGTACTCTATCAAATCGACCTCTTTGCACTTCCAACTAGAAACCTGCGGGTCTACCATGAAATGAAATTCCGAAATTTCAGACTCAATTTCGTGTTTTTGTTTATACTAAAATCGAACCAAAAATTGGAGTTGAACATTTCGTTCGTCATACATCCTATCATAAAAGTCCAAAGGAACAATATTTTAACATTTTTAATATTTCCAAACGGCATGTATTATGTAATTTTAACATCAAATTTCTGTTTCGTTTGGCTCCGAAATTTCGGAAAACATTACATGGTAGGCCCTCTAATTTCTTGTTGAGTTTGTCAAGATGAGCCAACTGATCTGCTTTATCCTGCATTATCCCTACTCTCAATGGTGTCCTATCAGCGTATACCGATAGCGCAAGTTAGATTACCATTCTAATATCACCCAAAAAAACAATTAATAATTCTGACACAGTTCTTCTAAAAAAATACTTTATATTGATCCTTAAAATAATGATTTCACTGTAATATCAAATTTCATTTTTTTAAATAGAGATAGAAGTTTGTATTTTAAAATCAACTCCATTATGTCATAGTATTTTTTTTTCTAAGTTTTATTAAAAGGGATATCTCCTTATTCATAAACAAATCAAACCTGTCATTAACCTATTTTAGCTATTGAACAATTTTGCCTCTTTCTTTTACACTAAATTCCTAATTTGAAAGAAAGTGACAAAACAGTGTAATAGTTAAAATAGATTTGAAAAACTTTGTTTTTATGGATAAGGGAGTTAGTATTTAATATTGAACGCGGTTAAATGTTATCTACACTGGCTCTATGTAAATTAGAACGTGCTCTTAAAGGAATAGAGTATGTTGTTAATATTAATGAACATACTCACAGATATGTATGTCTGTATGTATACCTACTACTTACATTAGATACTTCTCAAAAAGTATAAAAATAAATTTATTTAAAACTGGTAAAAACACTTTCTCTATGTAGGGACTAAATGTCCCTACATTGAAAAAGGGTATTTACTCGTAATACCATAATTTCACGTATCTTAATTTTGTCTGTTTTAATATTTACGTTAAGGTTGGATACGATTATTTATAAATAATTAAAACTATAAATATAAATAATATTCATTTTATTTTGACATGAATATGACAAAAATGAAAGTATTAAAAACTACCTACGATGTGTTAATCAATTATACATACCATATAGTTAGAATATCTGGAATCAGGTTTAATACTATTAATATAATTTTGTATATAAGTTCTAAGGTTGTGATATTGATTTGGTTTTTACTGTGTTATAATTATTTTAATTAATAAATAAATAAATATATTCAAAAGTTAGACACCTGTCCATTTATTAGAACAATATGACTTTTAGAAAGCACATAACTGTGTGGTTTCTTTATGTGTTCTTAGATCCAAAGCTCCAACTCACCTATACAGAAAGCCCCTTTTTCCTTACAGATTTCACGTAGCGAATGGTTTCCCACATTTTTAACTCAGCAATCCATAAATAGTGAAGTGTATTGGAACAACATTTGCACTTTAATTTGAAACACTCATAACACTTAACACTAACTTAACCAAAACTTAACACGAACATCAAGTACTAACGCCAGTAATCACTTATCACATGTTAACAATCCACTGCATATGTCATAGGAAACTTTAACTTATAAGTTATTTTATGAAAGGCTTTCATAAAAAGATGTTAAAAGTGTTTTCAAGCACAAGGGTTCGCTATATAGCGTTTGATGACCCTAAAAGTAGCTTCTCGACTGAGTGTTGAATGCAAAACGCACGGTTTCTCTTGCGCCAGCGCCGGTCGGTATGCGCCTGCGGCTGTGTGCGTTGGTGTACAGATACGCTGACATGCACACAATTGTAAACAGGCTGCACGGTTTTTGTCGATGTCCACGGGGCAAGTAACCTTAGCGCCCAAAAGTTGTAGCTTACGAATTGTTTATTTGTATATTTAACGGTAGAGCTAGTTGAATTTAAATGAAAATTGTCATTCAATTGTCATATTTCTATTTTTATATCTATTAAATAATTTCTTATACATATTGTATGTCACCAGGGTTTTTCCAGTAGTTGCCATGCTTGGCAAGCGGATTGGCCACCACAGTTAGGCTTTGGAGATGTTTTAAGAAGGATGCTGCTGCCTATCTCTCGCCCTCCCTTAGTTGACTCTTACGGAACCTACGGGAAAGGAAAGGGTAGTCTATTTTATGCCAGGACCACACAATGACGAATAGGCTGTCATATGTATCCTAGATATTTTGTTTGTGCTGTCTTTTAACTAGCTAATGTCTGACTGTTTTATTACTTTAATTTCATTCTTTACATATTTTTTTCGCTTATTGAAATACATAATTTTATTGATATATTTGACTATTTTAAAGAAATACATTTAATAGTGAACTCCGAGAGATTTTAAATAAACCAATTCATTACTGACTACAATTGACGATTTTTCGAGTTGCAATGCTGTTGTTCTAAGGTGAAGTTTTTCTGAAAGCTGCTGGTCGATGTCCCGCTAGCGAGTCTCAAGCTCCAATCTCCTGTTTCATTCTAACCATCACACAATCCTACATCAAAAAGAGACAAACATACCACACAATCTTCTCTATAAATTTGCAGAACTTGAAGTGGCTTTACTCAGGTATTATGAACGGCCTGAGTACCATCGTACGGATAATAAGCAACTCATTTAAAAAGCCCTACGCACCGATCGATTTCTTTGGTACGTAACTTGTACTTAATTTTATAAAATTCTCTGAGTTCGCGATGTCGATGTATCGTTTATTTAAAGTAATAGCGGGCTGATTGGTTGTAGTATAACACTGTTGATTAATTTTTATCACCTAACTTTTTGCCATTCCTAGGTTACAGTTCTTGTGATGTGTACCTAGTCTCATAAAATTTACCATATTTGATTTCAACGATGGTGTTTGTACGATATAAAATGTGATAAAAGTAATCCACTATCTAATCGGAGAGTTATTTTATTAATGCATTATTTACAGTACATATCCCACAAAAAAATCCAAATTCAATAGTGGCAAAATCGAATATTTTGATTTAAAAACTAAACTACTGAATCGATTTTGATAAAATTTCTGTGGCACCAGTCTGAAAGTTTCCTTTAAGATAAAAAAAAGAGTTTTCCATATCAGTTTAGAACTGACAGAATTATGAGGTAACAATCATAAAAAAAAAATACAATTGAACTAAAACCTTCTTCCTTTATGAAGTCGATTGAATATAACTAACGACGTCGCAATATAATAAACTTATTAATTCCATTGTTACACGTCAAATGCATCGCTATCTGTACCATGCAATAAGACTATTCTGCTAGGTTTAATTATAAATTGTACATAACATGCTTTGATATTTGGTATCAAACATCACTAATTAGTCTGCGACTTGATAGACGACAGATCGTGGCGCTATACAAATGACACAAAAGGTTGAAGTGATATGTTTGATGTTGTAGAGTTATATAATAATCATAAGACCGAACACGTTGTCCCACATAAAGATTGTAATTTGTTAAAACGATGATTTAAATAAAAACACTTTCTTAACGCACCTGTAATCAGAGCTAAAGTAGGTATTATTAAAATTAAAATAAGAGGTTTCACGCAAAATTATTGTACGGAAACGTTTCAAATAATTATATTTATTTCGTAAAAATTAATGAACTTCATTTATCTATACCTGAATAAACTTTTTGTCATATCAGGCGTTGTCTTTTTACAACTGAACATAGACCTCCCCCTATTGGGGGGGGGGGTTGCCAGTAGTTGCTACGCTTGGCAGGCGAGTTAGCAACCGCAATTAAACTTTTGGTAATATTTTAAGAGGGACGCTGCTGCCTATCCTCTACCATTAACTAACTAACCAGGGCTAACTAACCTGTCTTTTCATCCTCACCTATCATCACTCACTGGTGCCCCGCCAGTATATACCGATAGCGCAGGCGGGGTTACTATTCCATCATCACCCTCATTAAAAAACTATAATAATATGGAATCAAGTTTTTATAAACTAACTTTATCCTGTGATATCGTCCGCGAAACCTATACATAAAGTATCCTATATGCTAAGTTAGGATATAACCTACTCGTATACCAAATTTCATTCAAATCCGTTCAGTAGTTTTTGCGTGAAAGAGTAACAAACATCCATCCATCCATCGTTACAAAGTTTCGTATTTATTATATTAATAGAATAGAATGAATAGAATAGAAACATTTATTGCCATACAATTACAATATAAAATAAGTAAATATACAAAAAGTGTCCCGTACTCGGCAAAAGGAACCGGCTCAGCTGATGCTGTGTGTCCCAGCGCAATGTGAACAACTGCACAGCGCTGGTTTTCAGCCAGTCCCTCTCTTAACAAAACAACCAAAGTGCAGGGTACCACTGTAAATTACTTCATACAAGAATTATTTCTCAAATATACTAATTAAAAAAAAAGGAAAGAAGTTGATAAGATTTCTACAATAAACTGCCATCGAGAGTCGCTACGTTTCCCAAACATAGATATTTCTTTTTGTACTACAAAGGTGGCAAACAAACATACTGCCCGTCTGATGGTAAACGATCACTATAGCCTATGGACGCCTGTAATACTAGGAGCGTTACATGCGCTTCGCTGACCCTGAAAAAACCTTAATATATCCTTATAATGCCATTAGTATTAAGCCAACCTTTTACACCACGTTTTATTGATCAATAAAGTTTAAATAAATAAACACAGTGCTAATATATTAAAAAAAAAAACAGCGTAGAGCGTATTGGAGACGCTTTATTAGGGTTCCGTAGTTAGATTTCAGTTTTTATCTCGTCTGCTCATGACTGTTCAAGTTATTAATTGCACAGATATGCGCAGCCATAGCAATTCGACATTTCAGCGCATCGGCGCACGATCAAACAAACACATAAATCATTGGACATTTTCGATTGCATTCGAGATCACCTTAACGACGCCTCTTTGGATCCTGTTAATTTTGTTTCTTGTTCTATATGTGTCAAAATTTTTGTATGTACATGTCTCTTTTGCAGACGTCATGGCGAGATTCGTCATTTATAATACAAAAGTGTAATTCATTAAAAAAAGGTACCAAAGACAAGTTTATTGCTAAAGCGATTTCTTCCAGAGGATTCGATTTAAAAGTATCTTTATTAAAATAGACTTCTTTACAAGCGCTTTAAACTCATCAGTTTTTTTTTTTTTTATTCTACTGCAGGGATCGGAAGGAAAAGCCCGGAAGAAACTTTGCAGTCGGATCTTTGAAGAAGCAAATATAATATACACTAATTTTTATGTGCATACTATTTATATGCTTATTTACTTATTTAAACACTGTTATCTAAAACATACAATAAAAATCTTCTACTGTGACTCTCTCGACAACAATTTTTGGAAAATTCAGAGATTCATTGACATATCTAAGACATGTCTGAAAGTACATATGCCATACCATATCAGCCATTAACTGTCTACTGCTGAACATCTCCCATAACAGGGTTTTCCCAGTGGTTGCCACACTTAGCAGGCCGGTTAGCAACCACAGTTAGCTTTTAGTGGTGTTTTAGGAGGGACGCTGCTGCCCATACCTGAACCATTAAGTTCCCTTAGTCGCCTCTTACGACACCCATGGAAGGGGGCCCATTCTATGCCGGAACCACACAGATTACGATAATTTACATGTACATCTAAAAGTACATAATCAGCATTTAATAATAGTAATATTTTATGTTATTAAAATTACATTATGTGCTCTCAGACATGTCTTTTAAATAGTTAAAAGCTCCACTTGCATCAAGGGATGGACACCAAGGGATGAAAGCATTCCACCCGGCTCCCCTTTTAAATGAGCCATGCAGAGATACTAAAAGGCAGTTTAGTGTAGAAGAAAGAACATAACACTTAGTACATATACTAATAGAAATTTACACACAAACTTTGTCCTAAACATACTGCATACATATTATTAAAAAAATTATGTGTTGTGCAGGGATTGATCCTGCATTAGATGGTAAAACAGCGCGCTGACCACTGCGTTCGTACCACCAAAGTCAACAAGATAATCAACAATTTTCTTCACCCAAGTATATGTATAACAGAAATTAAAACATGCAATATATTTTAATTTACCAAAAACAAAACTTAACCGCAAACATTCAATGAATAATAATAATTCGGTGTATAAATTCCTTGACTTGCCTGTCTCTTTTACTCACCTCAATAATAGCTACTTGTGAGCGAGACGGCACGACCGAAGGAAGTGCTCCCTTATCGTTCATTCCGAGAATAACATTCCCATAGATTCAGAAGGCAGAAGGGTATGTCCGTTTGGAATGCAAAAAGTATGTTGGACATTTCTTATGGATTTGTCATAAAGTCAATTTTATGTTCGTTAATTTCTACTCGAATATTTTTTTTTACATATTCAGAATCTCGTAGACTGCATAATTGTATACGTCGCCTCATATTCTTACCCAAAATGGCATAACATAATGTGAACACGACCAATTTGAGAATTATATTCTTTTATGTGAGAAATAATGCCGTATTATTAAATAAGTTGCAACGTAAAAATGTAGTGAATTAAAATTTTTTTTTAATGTCCTGAAATGCCATATAACCGTACGAGCTGATTGATAGTAAGACGTCACTAAAGCTTATAGACGTTTACATTACCAGGCATATAGAATAAACGTTGCCAATCATTAACAAAATTTTCCTATTTTTTTAAACTCCTTACTCATAAAAAAACCTCAAA